GAAGAGGTCAGTTTGTCAGTGTCAGTTTGTCACTAGACAATCTTTAAACATCCCTTATAGCTGAACTATTTTGTTCTGTTTCATTCCTCAGAAAAAACAAGGTGTTTCATTCCACCCTCATCAATACTTCTGGTGTTGTTTTGGTGCAGGCAAGGAAAAAACTCACTTTATGACATGGCTATTGCTTGACTCTAGTACTCTCGACACTGGTGTTTGTCACCATGCTTTTCTCTTCTAGGTCTAGTGACATTGCTAATGGCAGTCCAAGCTGGCTCATCAATGAAAATCAGTCTGATTTTCATTTCACTGTAGCCTCAGTGGAGTACAAGGCATTGATTCCCACTGAAGAAACCTTCCCAAAGACTTTTGCAGGTAGAGAACATGGTAATGTAATGCTAACATAAAGGCATAGACTTCAATAACTATTACACTAACAAAATACCAACTATCTCATGCAAACTTTAGAGCAACATGATGAGCTTAGATCAGTGCTAATTATAGAAGGATTTGATTCAGTGAACAGTGACCCTTGTATCTCAGAAAGTACCACAAAAAGATCCAAGCTGCAGGTCTATTTACTCACATTTACACAAAACTTTCTAACACTTTGGAGAAAGGTACCAAAGGGAGATGTTCCTGTGCCTTCTCGCACATTGTAATTCTGTTCATGCTCTAACTTACTGGCAACTGGCTTCTTGAAACACTAAGTTTGATTCTTGATTTTGACTAAGCTAAAGCCTTACTCACATAAAAGCTCTTTGAGGAAATTAAATAAAGAATCCACAGTGGTATATACTGCATTACTTACCAACTAACTTAAACTCCCCAGCTAAACTCTACATGTGGAAGTCATCATGACTCCCTATTATTTCACTACCACGTCGTATTGATTCTTTGACCTGTGAGCGCTAATGCAGATTGCAACTACGCAGGCAGACATCAGTAACTCACCTGGTCCCAGTGTTTAATACTGCTGTTGCTCTGTTTGGCTAACAAAATCTTTTAGTTTGCTAATGAGGTAGCACTTAGCAGTGCAGAATGAAACACAACCTTTCCCGTTAACAGCTTCTTATCAAGAGCTTCTCTAAGATTTCACTCCAATAAGTCTGCTTATTAAAACTGGGATTTTAGTATGATAATAAACTTCTTCATTCCTGCTGAATTTTGTGTCTTCCACATCAAGCACAAATAATTTTTTTTTCTTAGACAGCCTCACACTCCAATCTCAGCACATTTAGACTCATGAACAACTGGAAAACACAATTTGATGATGCACATTGAAAATTTTGACCCTCATCTCTATTTGCAATAAACATTCTAATCCAGTGATCAAATGTGTTGCTGTCCAAGACGGGCTCCACAAGCAGTGGCATATTCTTTACCAACACAAGACCATAACCTTGTGGTGAAATCTATCCTTTCTCCACCTCTTTAAACATCAATCTCCTGCACCAAATCATGGTATTATTTAGCAGAGTGAACTGGCACAACCCTTGCTACACAGCCACATGGTGAAACATTTACTCCTGGCTTCTCCCACTGTGCTCCCCTCTGCCCTCTCATGAATACCCGTAATATTCCACCAGTATTAGAGGAAGGATTCTGCTGTTACTGTTTATCCTCTGAAGGCTGCCCAGACAGCTTGTTTCTGGCTCCTCAGAGATGTGCCTGCTAATGTTTCATGTGCTGCTGCCACCAATCCTACTAAGCTCATGATGGCAGAGGTAGAACATTCTCAATGAAAGTGAGACTGGACATCCTTCACTTTCAAGTGATGAGGGAATCTGCATCAGCAGCTAGGAGTTCAAACTCAAAATAAACCTACTCGAAATAATTTTTTTTAAAAAAGTAAGATGTCATCTTGGTTCATACTGACAAACACTAATGCTGTAATGATTTCCCTATTAGTAAATGTGGTATTTTACTAGAAGTCAAATTATTATTTTTAGACTTTGCAGCATTCTTATTCACCACATTTTTTGTTAAATTTCTGTTATGATGCAAAGCATTGTGGGAACCTCATAAGCAAAGCGGAAAAAATTTGAGTTTGTATGTACATGGATTTGAACATTTTATCAATCTTTAAACAGCATTTCATCCACTTAAAAATTTTATTTTTCTAGATTATTGCTTTATCATTCATTCAGTACTTGATTCTGTGGGACATTTTCCTCCATACAAGTCACAAATTTTATTATCACAGCCCTTCACTACAAACTCTTCACCTCACATAATAGTTTATTGTACGAAAAGACAACCTTCACATGTATACTGTCCACTTAACTTCCACATACTATCGTTATGTGCAAGGTGCTTCAACTATACTATGTCATCAGAACTGTAATTTCTTCAGTGACAGAAGAATTCCACTGGAGTTTCTACATGTTTTGTATTGATATACAACTTGATTTACACAGCAAGGTTGCAATCCTCCTTTCATACCTCCATTTCACTTAGTGTATCATTACTTCACCACTAGTGCACCACATTTTTTCATTCCTTCCCTTGGAAATGCTCAATTAGTTTGATTCCAGGGGAGAGTCTGCCAGCAATAAACTCATCTATTCCATATCTGAATTAGAGCTTCATGATACTTTTCAGTTATGCACCAACTCTGTCTGTCTTCTCCACTCCGTTTCATTTTTCATTCCTGCTCCCTTTGTTTCACAAGTAACCAAAACAACATTACTGAGCAAACTCTATGGAGCTAAAAAAGGCTCTCAATTCATTGCATGGTGCTTTCAGTGACCCCTGCCAAATGCCAACCACAGATATCACATCAGATGGAGAGACCAGAATCCTCTGTAGTAGATTTCATTGAGTGCTTAGCTTAGCTTTGACAAATGGTACTAATCTTTGTCCTGACACAGACTACTTTTTGCTTTTCTAACAGCATGTAGAAAACACCATGCAATTATATCAATGAATACAAAAGGTGCTGTGGAGATAGTTATGTTTCAAATTTTCTACATGATGATATATGTTATGAACATTAAAACCCCACTAATACATTTCTTCTTAAAACTATCTGATCCATTTCACCTCCGAGTGACAACCTGCAGTATTTCTAGGCAAAGATATGTACGATAGCAGTCAAAATCACGTTACAGTGCACATCCTTTATCTTTTCATCTAAATGCCAAGTAATGTTCACTTAATGCTGAGACAATTGACAAAATGTGTAATATACACATCTTCCATTTATGTTCCCTGTTGAACATATTCATACAGTTTTTAATAGTGTCAAGATTCCTTTCTAGAAGAAAGACCACGCCAAAGATCATCAAAGCAATTCATTAAATGAAATCTGTAACAGCAGCATTTTACACTAACTGTATATATTACCAGTATATCCTATATATCTATTTATCTTCCCTCTTATGGCCAGACAGTGAAATCGAATACAATCCACATAAGCAGTTTAGAAATGCCAAATATCAAAATCCACTCCTACGGGTAACTCAAGCAAGGAATTTCCCCTCAATAAAAACTCCATCATTTGAAATTTCATAAAGGAGCAAATTAGCGACTCACATCTAAAGCAAGCACAGATCAAGCAATTGTGTGTACATATTACACAGAGAGGATTTTAGGCATTAAGTAAACTATCATTAAATGATTTGGAAAGTACACAAACCTTAGTGTTTCCTTATTCACAAATACGCATGCCATCTAATCTGCCGCAAATATTGGCATTAGATACAGTGACAATCATAAATATAATGATGTATAATACCAGTCCTTTAACATTCTCAAAGCCATGTGATGTGGCTTTTTTAAGATTAAAACTTTCGTTTTTAAAAGGTCCAGCTTATGCAGTGTAATTGAATTTCCAATCCACTTCAATAATCCTGAAATGTTATATGCACAAACTGGCTTTAGGTCTACAGATACATGACCATATTTTGACATGTCTATGGCTGCACAATAATTTCCAAGCACGAATTCAGTGGAGCAATGAAGAGGCGAATACCAAACATGTTACTAGATCATGGTATTGGACTGTCAGCTTCTTTTTGGTTATAGAATCATTTACAGGGCTGACTACCCTGCACAGCCCTCACTCGGGTTTCTCAGTATTGCAGTGATATTTAAAAACAATTCAGAAATTGGACAGAAAGACCCCTGTACATGCGGCAGCACAGAATACAGAATATGGGACAAGATGTAAATGCTGAAGCATGGAACATGCTGGAAAATAAATTATGGCCATATTTCTGTGCTGCTCTGTGCCACAGAATTCCTCTCAGCTTTGGCCACAGTAAACAGGGCCGGGTGCCATTGGCACAGAGGAGTGTAACAGCAAGAAGTCGTGGTGGTACATGCATGTGAACCTGTACGTATGTAAACCGCTGAACCTTTGGGAGCATGGGAAACAGCATGGGCTGATGAAAATGTGAACACTTTCCCTTCCTTTTGCAGCATCACCAGTTGTAAGTGCAGTGCTGTTGGAAGGATGAGTCAGTTTTGGCACTCACAGGAACAGATACATACAGCAGTCAAACAGTCTTTTACTTTTCATATTTTTTTAAATAAATCAAGCAGATCTTAAAATTATGATTGGAACTACCGGAAGAGACCACAGAAAAGATTTTTCTTATATTAACTCCTCATTAACCCTTGAAGAAAAAGAGCAGGAAAAAAATGACAAACTTTCTTCCAAGCATTGACACCATCCTATATTGCTCACCTTCACTTCAAATTGGTTTACAGAGTTACACATGTGCTTCTGCAAAAAAGCAAAGCACAATGACCAGTACATTAAGAAAATTCCTATACTGCTCCATAAATATGCTGGACATTATCATCCAAGAATAGCACACTCTTGATAGCATGGTATTGTCTTCACTACATTTTAATTGGAAGCAGAACCTTAGCAAACAGATTATGTGTCAGTTCTTGTAATGCTATATACCATTCAGGTAAGCATCTCATGGTATGATATTTCATATAAAATATGCAAAGGCTTTTGCCTCCAACACGTAGGTGGATATTCTTACCTTTGGTTCCATTGAAATGAAGCTGTGGGTACCTCTACTTGAGAGAACTGACCTTTTAATTGTTTTACTATGGTAAAAGTGGTAGTAATCCTTCAGTGTTCCAATCTGTAAGGGGAGAGATGAAAAAAAGAGAAGGAGATTTAATTTATGGAAAGCAGTTTTCTGTTTTTCATTTTTAAAGTCTATAAATTATGCAATTTCCTGCCATGCTGAAATGTTACTTGAACCCGGTGATCATCTTTCAAAAGAAGGACATATGATATGAAATGGATGGAGTGTCCTTGAGGCATTAACTGCATAACCAAAGATTATAATTGAGCTGCTCAGTCTGTCTGTATCTACCTTCTTAATGTTTAATTTATATGCAGTACTTAAAGTAATTCTGTATCAATCTATATCCAAACTGTCTTCAAATGGCAAGTATAAAAGTCATCAAATGACTATACAGCCATTAAAAAGCATTCCATCTAGTTTGCTTCAGTAGCTGTACTATAAAATGCACTAAATTTGGTTATTTATATAATTAACTTACAAAAAGCATGTTCACAGCATCAGACTATACAACAAGCATGGGCTCCTCTCTTGGCCAAATGTGATCAAAGAAGAAGTAGAATAAAGAAAAGTGAAAATGTTAACCTCTTAAGATAGAAACTAGTTTGAAGTACAAAATCAAATTAGGCAAAGTTGTACATTTCACAAAAGTACACTATTTTTTATGCATCCTGTCATCACACAGTAACAATACAGGTGTTAAGTGGAGACAGACTGCAAAATTTGAAAAAGAAATTTCCCCACTAGTCTCACCAAAAAAAAGAAATTCTTAACGTGAAACTTTAGTTTCACAGACCTATAAACAAACATTCAGCATACATCACTCTGAAAGTAATGCCTCCCATTTATTTCCATGGAAACTACAACAGATACGAGAACAATCGCACAAGAACAAATTCTCACATACAACGCAGTAGTTTTCAACATAGTCACCACCATTCTATGTGCTTTTACCAGCCATGAACAAGAGAACAAATGATGCACTCATAAATATCTGCACTGGTGGAAATGACCACTGTTTCACAGCTATTACGACAATATCACTGCTATGAAAATGTTGCCCATTCAGACCAACTTTCACTGCGCTCACATCCACTGTGTGGTCCCCAGAGATGTTCAGCAAGCATTGATAAATGTCAGTGGGAGCCATTTTTCCTGCACGGAGGAATGACACATCTAAGCTCCATCCACGTCCATGCTTCCATGTCAGACATCATTTTGTCATACTGCCCCTCTACTGCTATCTGCCACATGGCAAAAAATATAGCAGAATATTGGTGGAAAGGTTCAATTTCTACTGCCGTACCACCAACATCCACTTCTGATAATGTCGGCCAAGATAATAAAATAGGAGGCATTACTTTAGGAGCAACCCTGTTATTGAGGGAGAACATTTCATCAAGTTGTGAAATTTTAGTAAATCTTGTAAGACGCATAATAATTTAGACAAAGCTTCTTTAATGGTGAACAAAAAAAGGACAACAGATCTTACTGTTATTTCAAGTTATAAGATGAAGCAATTTTGGCAAACTGTCTTGGTTTTACAGATGAACATCAAAAAAGATGGAGCAACAAAGATCCCATATTTTAAATTTGTATCTGTAAGAATACACATCCAGCAAATTTGGTTGCTTAACATTAAATGTTCAAGAAGAACTGGAAACAAGCCACTGAACTCCAAAAATACGCTTTTAGAGTGTTAAAAAACAAAAATCTTGAGAAAATCAAAGTAAAGCTAAGAAATACTGACAGATCTTTTTTGTTGTCACAAAGCACTTGTACATTTTATCTTGAAGATGTAAGTGGAACTGGGAATGAAAGGAAAATTTTTTACAAAAAGAAAAAAAAAAAATCCATCTACCGTACAAAGAGTCCATCTATTGGGAAAAATAACATCAGGGTCATACTCATCACTGTTCAGTTGATACAACAGTATCTCCCTTTCAGGAAGAATCTTTTTTTTTTTTTTTTTTTTTTTTTTTTTGAAGTACAATATCAAAAACTTCAGTCAATACAAGTTGGTTCATCACAAATTAAATATGAATTGGTTTGACTAAGCCTAAGTTAAATATACTAGCACTGGAATACTAATCTCCATGCTGTCTTCTGTCTGAAAAGGCAATTCAAGCTTAAGTGGTGTCAATCTGTCTCGTGGAAAAGCCTGGTCTCATATCTACATGGGCATAACTGTGAATAAAGCTGCTTAAAACATACATGTGGAAGCTTTCTCATGGACAGCTCAAAGAGCAGAAGCATCCTAGGACTTCTGAGGTCACCCACACATGGTCCGCTGTGGACTGAAGTCTGTTACCTGTGCTACAGCAAATAGAAGTTCTCTGTTCACAGACCAGCATATTCCTCTGGTGACATAAGGAGCCACACAGCCCAAGTCGCAGAAGGTAAAGGCAGTGATTGGAAGAATGAAGAACCATTCACTACAGAAGATAATCAGTTTCAGGACCATCTAAAGAAGCTGAATGCGCACAAGTCCATCTGAACTGATAAGATACGTTTGAGGGTCCTGAGAGAACTCGTGAATGAAGTTGCTAATCCACTATCCATCATTTCTGAGAAGTTGTGGCAGTCCAGTGAAGCCCTCACTGACTGGAAAAGGGGAAACAATCTCAGTTTTCACAAACACAAAAAAGAAGGCACCAGGGAACTACAGTCCAATTAGCCTCACCTCTACATCCAGCAAGATAGTAGATCCTCCTCAAAACAATGCTAAAGCATGAGGAAAATAGAGAGGTGATTGATGACAGCCAACATGGCTCCACTAAGGACAAATTATGCCTCACAAATGTGGAGTTACAGTGTTGTCGGAAAAGGGAAGATCAACTGAGGTCAGCTGCCTGGACACAGTCTGTATGACATCCTTGTCTCTAAATCGAGGAGACAAAGGTTTAACAGACGGACTGTTTGGTGGATAAGAAATAGGCTGGATGGTTGCACTCAGGAAGTTGTAGCCAACAGTTTGACATCTAAGTGGAGACCAGAGACAAGCAGCATTTCTCAGGGGTCATTTCTGGGACCAGCACTCTGTAACATGACAGCTGAATCAAGTACAATTTCCGAAAATTTCGTAAAATCATCACAGAATCATAGAATGGCTTGAGTTGAAAAGGACCTAAGAGATCATCTAGTTTCGACCCCCCTGCTATCTGCAGAATTGCTAGCCACTAGAACCACTAGACCAGGCTGCCCAGAGCCACATCTAGTCTTGCCTTGAATACCTCCAGGGATGGGGCACCCACAACCTTCTTAGCAAACCTGTTCCAGTGTCTTATCACCACCTATTTGTCATGGATACCAAAGCTGGGTAGTGCAGTTGACATGTTGGAGGAATGTCTCTCACAGGGACCTTGAGATGCTTCAGAGGTGGGCATATGGGAATCTCATGAAGTTCAATAAGGCCGAGTAAAAGGTGCTGCACAAATACAGGCTGGGCGATGAGTGGATTTAGAGAATGACTTAGTGGTGCTGGTTGATAAGAAGCTCAACATGATCCAGAAATGTGTGCTTTCAGCCCAGAAAGCCAACCATATCCAGGGCTGAATCAAAAGAATTGTGATCAGCACATCATTCCACTCTCATGGAACCCCAGCTGGAGTAACTACTCTGAGGCCCACAGTATAAGAAAGACACAGATCTGTTGGAGTGAGTGCAAAGGCCACAGGAATGATTAGAAGGCTGAAGCACCTCTCCTATGAAAACTGGCTGACACAGTTGGGTTTCTTTAGCCTGGAGAACAGAATATTCTAGGGAAGATCACAGCAGAATTGCAGTACATAAAGGAGGCCTACAAAAAAGCTGGAGCCTGCAAAACAAATCTCTTTTTTAGGAAATGTAGTGATGCAGCAAGGGATAGTGGCTTTAAACTAAAAGAAGATAGATTAAGCTTAGATATAAGGAAGAAATTCTCCATGGTGAGGGTAGAGATGGAATATGTTGTCCAGAGAACTTGTAGATGCCCCCCAACTGGAAGTGCACAAAGCCAGATGAATGAGGCTTTTAAGTAATTTGGTCTATCGGAAAAAGTCTCTGCTCAAGGCAGGAAGGCTGGAACTACACAATACTTCAGGTCCCTTCAATCAGAACCATTCCATGATTTTGTGATTCTATGATTCTATTATACAGTCTCAGTCAGAACAAAAAGCGGCTTTGATGCTGATTTTAGTCCTAAGGAAAATAATGGACATTCCTGTACACAGTTATGCTGCTGCATAACTTGTGACTGCACTAACAAGGGTTTATTCTCAGCTTAACAGCCTGTAGGACATTGAAGAACTCAGCATCAGGCCACATATCTGAATTATTATTATTTGTGTCAGTCGCTGAAATTTGGTGCCAGAGTTAGTACCAATATGGGTGATGAACTCTCACAAGTCAAAAGTAGTCTGATGAGTCAGTTCGTGAATGTTACTGGGACTCACTGACATAAGGCTGAGATACTAACTGCTGGGAAGTGATGCTCCACAAACAGTGAGGTGCATATTCATTGTACCAGAATACTCTTGTAATGGATACATATCTTTTCAGGACTTTGCTGTCACCACCATGAATTACTACTATGTGCACAGAATAGTATTTGTGCCTGTACACAAGAATACGCATTACTGAAGAAATATACCTCAAGTGGGTAATTGTATTTTATGACTGCACAAAACTGCATAAACAGAAACTTTCTGCATTTTAAGGAAAACAACCTTTCATCTGCTTTCATGCTACACAGATCTCAACATCACTCATTCTGCGTGCTTTGTTTTACACTTGCTTGGAGAGCTGGGTTTGTCTGGGTGTTTTGTTTTTTTTTGAGGATAAACTGTAGCTCGAGGATATCCACCACAGCAGAAAGATGCGCGGCCTTACTGCACTCCTACTACTTAGATATACTAGCCACTCAGAAGAGACTGAAGGAATATACAGGCTCTACATTCCAACAAAAGGAGAAAAGTCTGTCGCTGTCTAATGCTCAATGGCTGCACTTCCTTGGACACCTTGTACTTAAGAGATAGAACTAAACCCACTGAATTAAGCTTCAAAATTATAATGCA